TTATTACCTACCATAAATGTACCTACTACATACATACATACATATGTACGTATGTATGTGCATATGTACTTCTGAAACACAGTTGAGCTTATTGTCATATGATGGTATTCTAGGTGTTAAATGTATGTGTGTTTTTGGTAACTTAGTAAATTTTTTTTAATAAGAGACACTAGATATAATGTTGTTGTAGACATTTTTTTTTTCAAGAAAGTCATCAGCTATTCCTCGTTAACGTCCTAAAGCTAAACAGAAGCTTTCCTGAAATATGTTTTTATTTCAATATTTTTTGGGTTTTTGTTTAAAGTTCTCCTTTGATAAAAGTCACCTTCGAAATCATCCTTTTATTTACATATGTATGCAATTGTATGTACAATATGTAGGCTCCGTTACGCTATAGAAATCTCTCTCACCACTCCTATTGAGCTTTTACTTAATATATTATACGTTTTTATAAGTATGTATGTATGCGCTCGTATGTTTAGTTATGTAATGAATAGAAGTTCATATGTGTATGGTATGTATCTAATGAATACTTATTTTTTTTATTTATAGTTTAAATAATTTTTGCTACTTTAAAACAAAACTGGTATTGTTTGCACTAAAGCAAAGGCAAAACTATTTTTCGCTTTTAATTATTTACATAAGTAAGTAAGTTGTAATGGGTAGATGAGTATTTATTTAAATATTCAAACACTTTTTCAAACAGGAAAAGGAGTAACTATTTGTGTGAACTACTCGTACACATATGCATATACACATATATATGTATATATATGTATGTATGAGATAAGCATAACTATAATTTATTAATTGGGTATGAATGCGAATTTGTTGGCAAATACAAAATTAGGAATTAGAATGCATTAAAAATTTACGATGGATGTATGAGAGAATTCATTACATATTTATATGGGATTACTGCACTAAAATTTACTACGACTAAAACTAATTATATAAAAAAAATTTTTATTTGTATAAAAAATAGTAACAAACTAATGTTTAAAAAATTTTAAAATTCTTGACAATATTACATGGAGTAAAACAATCATGAGCACTTTTTCTCCCTTAGCCCAGTAATTGTGGTAATTGAGGTCGAATTGATGCCCTAAAGCTGCCTTTACACGGGTCGTTTTCTGTCGACTGGAAAATCGACCAGCCAAAACACTTACATTTTACGGTTGAATTGTCATATACACTGGTCGATTTTGGTTGAAGGACAAAAAATCGACTAGAAAATCGACCAGTGTAAAGGCAGCTTAACGGATGAAACACATAAGTTAATACATAGAACCGCGCTTACTCGGGATGTTACCAGACAGAACTTTTTTGAGCCATTTCAATTTTTTGGCTTAATTCGCGTCTCGTTTTTGCACAATTGAAAAACTGAAATGGCAGTTCGATGTATTAGAGATGTCAGTTTCCAAAAAATCGAGTGGAAAATTTTCTATACATCGAAGCAAATATCGATATTTTCGATGTGTCGATGTTTTTCCGACAACCCTAGTACTGACGATTCTCGTTCATCGGATCAAAATGGAAGAAATATCAATTAGCCAAATGCAGAGGGAAGTAATACGCTGCGCTGCGACTTACATATCTTTTTCGCGTAATCAGTTAGTATTGTTTTCTTATTAGATTTGACGCAACGTGGCGATACATGGCGTATGATTAGCGTACGCTCATACACATATACAGTGGTGGCAAAATAATTAGAGACACTACCTTTTGATATGTTTTGACCATTTTATTTTCCTTTTTTTCTAGAAAATCAGATTCAGAAGTTTAAAATTTTGATGGACATTTTTTAAATTTGGCGATTTTTGCTGTTTTTGTCTTGAGAATTTTTTTTTGTTCCAAATTTCATTGTACTTACCCACCAGATCTCAGTTCTTATCGCTCTAACGTCTCACCCTAATGAAAGTAAACTGAAGCTCGCCAAAAGTAATTATCCTTTTGATAAGGAAGTACATACATATGTATTTCGATTCGGAGACAATTTCGAAAGTTTTTTTGGCGAACCTATGGGCCGCCATTTTACAATTTGCGTCAAATCTTCGGCGTTTACAGTCGGATCTTAAAGTATGTATATCGATGTTTTGTCTAGGAAGTATTTCGATTATTCCGGTAGAACCATTAAAAAAAATTAAATTTCGAAATTGCCTTGTAAATTTGTTTTAGGCTCAGGGGTGTGCAACGAACATCTTTTGTTTGCTTGTAAGTCGGTGTGGTCTAATGTCCATATTTATTACTTATCTATTTCATACAAAAAAGGATTCAACTTTATCGCCAATTCCGTGTGAATAAATCGTTCTTATAATTTAATTGGCAAAACCAAAACAAATTGAGAAAATCTGTGTTTGTTCGACTTTTTAGTTTTTGGGAATATTTTTTCACATAGAATTTGTGATAAGGTCGATTTATTCTTGACTCTAAGGGCCAATTTCCTAGTGTGTAGTTAACCCAGAATCGGCAGTTAATTAGAGATTTTCAGTAAAAAAATCTGTAGTTAACTGCCGATTCTGAGTTAACTACGCGCTGTGAAATTGGCCCTAAGAGATATCATCGGTCAGCGATAGAACACTGCTCTCTTGTTTGATCCAAGCAGTATGGAGCGTGTCTTCTGTGGGTATTTTTTCGTATATGATGTTCGATCTAGATTCTAGATTGACAGCAAATCAGCGTAGTTTATACGTATGTACTTATAGATATGTATAATGAACTAATTTTCTCCTAGAACAAAACAGTTAAATTTTTATGGAAAATCGGTAGCTAAGTACCATAATTTGCATAATTTTTTACTGACCTATCTTTTACAGATGTAACTAAATAGCGGCTTTTGATAAGATATACTTTTTTTTTTATCGTTAAAAAGCTCAGTGTAGTTTTTCTTAAACTCGATACGTTTGGTTCAACATTCTTATCATTTTCTATCCCTTCCAAATAATAGGTTTCACCAAGATGATTTTGCTTGTTTCAGTGATGACCGCTTCATTCGAATCGCATCTCTTACTTCCGAGACATTTCTTCTGATTTAGAAACAAGATTGCTTGATCGCCACACAAAACTGATTTTTTTTTCAGTTTCCTCAAAGTTGAAGAGGTTGTCTGCTTTAAATGTTTATCGTCAAATACAAACCAAATGACTTGCTGAAAATTTTACACTAGTCAAGATGGTCATTGGCAGGAAAAAGTAGCTTTGACCTCGAGGCGTCCTTGTAACTAGTTTGACTCGTAACAACTTACATTTCTGGATGAAGCTTTAGGATGACAAGGCACTAAAAGCATAGAAATATGACAGCATTGATTTAACTCTGGAATTGAGTGGTGTTGATCCAGATTAGGTTCTGGAGTCAATTTTCAAACTTGAGTGCGTTACCGATGGCGATGTAAATGCACAGACTAATTTTGCATGTTCTCTGTACTCTACGCTCTCTGAGCAAACAAAATAACAAAAAAATAAAACGAGTTTGGTGTCCAGTGTATCTGAGTGGTCAGAACTGTGTACTACAACCCATTAGGGTCCNTGCATGTTCTCTGTACTCTACGCTCTCTGAGCAAACAAAATAACAAAAAAATAAAACGAGTTTGGTGTCCAGTGTATCTGAGTGGTCAGAACTGTGTACTACAACCCATTAGGGTCCAGATTCTATCCGTAATACGTACTGCCGCTGTCAGTCTACTACTTTGCTCAGATCAACTGCGCCGTTAATCCGGTTTAACGTTGCCGTCTGTCTATGCTGTAAGAATCAACCGCGTAACATGATGTCTCGAATGGGCTTAAGGTTTACCTAACGGAGTAGCAATAGATACCGACAGAAGAATTGAACAAATCTTCTTTGTTTGTCTCATGTCTATTCGTATCTCTGTCCTTGAATAGGAGTTTCAACCTCAAAAGAAAATTGGGATTTCACATAACAATGAAACTCAAAATATGCTGCTTAGGTTTCACTTGATCAAACTCGGATAGTAACCATCTTCCATATAGAGGTAGTTTGTAAGAACTTAAAACAATATTTAAGTGACTAATGAAAGTAAATCGGCACAATCGAAATATGTTTAAAAATTATCCTTACAAATTTCGAATGACCAAAAGCGATGTATGATGTCGATTACTGCTACGACTCGGTCTCAGATATAATGATTTTTCACGATTTTCATGCTTGTGCGGGTTTCTAAAGGAACAGGCAAACCTAGAATTTTAAACTAACTACCAAAATTACGTAGAAATACTTACTTAGTTCAAAATATATGTACAGTTAACCACTTTAAATTCAATATTTGTATGTATTAAAAAAGAGCTTTCGACTTCAGTTTTACATGTAAGGTATATACCCTTGTGGTCAGCTGATTAAGACAAGTACCATTTTGACTAGTTTTGGCTATTTTTCTTTTGTTTATTTAATGGTGATATTTTTTTTTATAAAAGCTTAGCACCTAACCTAACCAGCGCCCCATAAAGCCTTATTTCAAACTTCGTACAAAAATTATGAAAATTCAACAAGCATTTGCATTAGCACCCAAAATCTTTAAACTTTTGGCGTTGGTTAGGTAAAGAGCTAAACTTTTATAAAAAATTATATAAACATTAAATAAACAAAAGAAAAATAGCCAAAACTAGTCAAAATGTCACTCGACTTAATCGGCTGACCACAAGTGTAAGTCCAGAGGAACTTTTATAAAATAAAACTAGCACGCTTAAAGGGTTTAAAATTATACCGGAGTTCCACTGCGCAATATATGGGAAGGCCGGGTATTAAAAAATAACGCATCCATTACGCTGAGAAAAATAATTTATTTTTTTCCACATGGCATTTTTTAGATGGCACGCAATTTTTTGTCGCTTAAACGCTTAAGGGAAATTCGGCATTAGCGAACTTGAATTAAATTATAAATGAAAAAAATCATATAACGTAAAGAAAATAAAATCCAGCAAAACACATACGCATTTCTATAAAAAAAGATCTAACTTTATTCAAAAAGCTTTCGAAAAATATATTTCGAAAATTAAATCATTAGAACTAATAAATGTACTTAAATTTAAAATGGAATGGTTAAAAGAAGAATAAGTACTTAGTGTGCAATGTATGTCGGAACGAATTTTAGTCATCCCTTGTCAAATTTGGTTTAGAGGCAAACCGGTTTCGATCGCTTAGTATGTATTTACATTTGTAAAAAATTAAGTTTGTAAAATTTATTGAAACTTATCATATGATTTTGTATAAATATTTTATTTATAAAACTTAAAATTAAAAAAAAAAACATATATATATTTTAACTTAAATAGTACGAGATCATTTGATGAATATATTTTCTTCGTCCGTTGCGTTGGTAGATTTGTGTATGAATCAGCTATTTTCACATTTGCGTCAGTTTGTGGGTACAGTTTGGTGCAAACAGTTATAAGACGTGGTAAAATTTTTTTCTTTAACTTTAAATTTTCTTTTCTTTTTCTACATATTAGTAATGGATAAAGCCAGATTTGACAGCATTTAATACTTTAAATGTTATAACCGAATTTATTTAAGGCATTCACAAGGCGTCTTAGAATTTCAAAATTTTACATGAATTTAAAAATTTTGTTGTTGTCTGGCATAGGCAAAGTTATAAAATACACAAATACAACTGTGAATGCTACTGAAGAATTCACATAGTCGCATAAAGCTCCAAGTCGGAAACCGAAGGCTTAAAAAATTGCCAAAGTTGTGAACACCCCTTAAAACAAATGGTGTCAATTCGTGTCCACTGTTTCTTAAAAATCTCAAATATAATTTTTTTTATTAATAATTTGGTTTCATTTCTGGCTTTAATTTGAGTATTTGCTGTAAGAATCGCAAAAAATGGCACTTTAACTTAAAATATAACGTTTTGATAAACAAATTTACGCGATTTTAGATGAAAAAAAAAACAATTAATTAACTTTGATACAGATTTTTTTTTTTAATTTTTCAATAAAATGACCACCTTAGCTACTATCTAATATGGTTAGTCAGTAGGTTAAGTATTGGATAGTTTTTCACAGAAAAGGTTATCCAACTAGAGATATGTTTTTTTTTGTCAAATGTCCACGAACGAAATTTTACTTCAGCACTTAATTGATACTTTCCGCAGTTTTCCACTTCGTTTTTTTTTTTACTTATTCATTAAAACTAATGATGTCGATGAAAAGTCTCAGTTTAGGTGCCCTCAAGCGTCTTTGTCTTTGGCTTTGAATTAGTAATTATGTTAGAATGACAACAAATAAAATTACAATAAAAATAATAACGTATTGGAAAAAATAACTAATTACAGTAAAAATAGAGGCAAATCGAACTAAAACAAATCAAATTTAAAATTTACTTTTCACAAAATTACAACTAAGCCGTACACAACTAAAAATATGCAACGCAGTGTTAGTTGGAAATAACCGTGATTCACTAATAATGATTGAATCATGGAAAATACATATGTATGTATGTATGTAACTACAATATTTCAATGTAATCAAATCACTAGAAAATAAAATGTTTACTGAACGCTTCAAATTGTAAAAAATACTTACATACCAAATATAATGTTCATTTTTCAAAATCTACACTAACTAATGATAACGAATCTATTCTGTATAATAATAATTTTTACTATCGCTCATTTACCAAAAGGCTGCCGGATTCAAAAACCGGCATTTTTGTTAGTTTTTCCGCTAGGGTAGCGAAAANTATCGATTTTTCAGTTATCGAACTATCGAATTTTGTTGAGGTATTGAATTTTGAAGTTTTTTAAATTCATCGAATTATCTATATGTATAAAATAATCCAAATTTATAGACAAACTGGAATGTATGGGGTTAACTCCAATTCCTGTAAACATTTTAAAAATTGTTGTAGTCACGTCTTAGTTCCAAAGCAGGAAATTTTTCGGCAAGTAATTTTAAAGGACGTGCTAAGTTAGAAGACACCTCCAAGGGCCTTAAAAATACTAGAAAAACGGTCGAATTTCAACAGTAACTGACTCCCCTAGTTTGTATAAATGAGCGATATCTACTTGCTAAATACATATGGGAGTTCTCATTACAAATGGATCTATAAGTGAAATATTTAGTTTTTTGTAAGAAAATGAAAAACGCTAGAAAAGTTTATATGATTACGTTCCATATTTGTATTAATTTTTAATGAGCTAAAGGCCCAATGTAAATAATGCCGAGTTTCCACTTAGCATTGAAAAGAAAACAAATTCTGGCATTTAAAAAATTGCATGCGCAAGCTAATATATTTTAATAACTGTACCCCAATTTCCTAGGATTAAGTAAAGTTAAAATTTAAGAAAAATCTCATAGTTTATTAGTTAATAAAATCGCAATATTTTGTTATCACACATCACGAAATAAATAATTTTGAAGTGAATGTTATTACATTCTAAGTGGACATTTCTCCCAAAACTTGTTGTTATATGTTGTTATTTGCCGATAAGTCAGCATTTCCCATGATTAGTTGGTCCGACATTTGTTAGATATCCGATAGAATTCTCAGTAATTAAGTCAGAATTTCCCACGACGTGTCGGTTAGACTTCGTGTCAACCTATGCATACGCTTTTCTGGCCGATATCTGCCAGAAATCAAAAAGATTTCACACATTTTTGCCGACGAGACTGATGGATATCTAACAAATATCTGGCAATTTTGCTGGCTAAGGCACTCCGCACATTAAACGCCTAGTCATAGTAGTGTAATCGTTCCGGCGTACTAAAGTATGAAGCTTTTATACCGAACACATGTATTTCAATGGAGCTCTGTATATTACTATTCATAATCATGTTTTCGCCTAATCATAAAAACTTCATGAATCGAAGCGCCCAACATTGTAAGGCGCTTGCCGTTTTGATATCGGCATTTCTTTACTTTTTTGTGCTCGAAATAAAAATTATTTGTCATTTCAGTAGATAATAATTGAAAATTAATGATTTTGTGTTAAAACTCGTGCCAATTGTATTAGCCATAAACGTTTATGCAATATTTTATTGCAGAAATGTTCGCGGAAGTGTATTAATGAGAAAGACCGGTCAGAAAATGTGTAATGTGCGCGCAAGCAGGGCTTACGCAGGGCGCCCAAGTGTGCAGACGTCGAATCGTCATGCATTCGTTTTGACATGACAAAACGATTACTCTACTATGATTAGGCGCGTAATGTGCGGAGTGCCTAAGTATTTTTTATAAAACGAAACACAAATCCTTTTTTTTTTGCTTCTTCCATACCAAGACGTCATCTTTTTTTTTTGGTTTTAATATATAGTGCTTTATCAAAAATCCAGAGAATTATGAGCTTTGATTATTATGGCATGCGCTCAAAAAATTTCCATTCATCCACCTTTGCCAAGCAAACACAACTCTGTGCGCTGAATCCAAACTGTACGAGGCACCACACGACTGCTGCACTACAACTACTAGTAAAATTTATACAAAAATTAGGATATACAATAAAATGTATAGTGGAAAATTTGCAAGAAAATCGGGTTAGAGTAATTTACAACAAGTCGCACGATTCTTTGGTTGGTTGAATTCTTAATCAGGGTTCCACCTCCTCTACTTAAGGTACACAAATACATATGCATAGATTATGAACAAACACTTACCTCTTAAAATTCAGCTGCTAATCTTTTTTTTTTAATTTTACGCAGTAATACGAATACTATGCCAAAGTCACTACGAATTTATACAGAACTTTCAAAGTTTGGTTTTTCTAAAAAAAAGTTTGTATACTACAAAAATACTAAAGAGAAAATGTAAAATTGTCAACAACACAACAACAACAGCTAATAAAATATACAAATAGGCCAAACAGACAAAACAACAGAGTATTAAATGCATGTCGTATGTATGTATGTAGATAGACAGACAGACAGACAGACAGACCGTCAGCATACATGTCTAAAAAAAGGATTATGTTTGTATGTATTTAGGTAAGTAGTATGTACTTCATAAGATACCAAACAAAATTACTAAGATTCAAACAATTTACAAGAATACGATTTGTAGTAATAAAAACACAGTACAAATTACATTTTCACTTTTATTAATTTTGCTGCTTAATCAATTAATATTCATATATACGAGAGTATGTATGTAATGTAGGTATATGTGATAGGCGTAATAAGTAATATAATAGATTGGCAATTAAATTTTAATGCAAATTTACATATACGCTATGTACTAATTCATCATAACGCACGAAATATGTATGTAGTATGTATGTAACTAAGTACTATACAATTTTGCCAAATCGAATACAAGTCGAACTTATTTAGTTTCAAATAAATGTATGTAGGTTTTGGTTTTGGTTTTCGTTTTTTATTTTCAAATTTTTATTTTTTTTTTACGCAAAAAGTTACTCAAATATATTTACAATGCTGTATTGTAGTCAACTAAATGTAGACAAATACTAGAATATGTACTAAAATCAAATAAGAAAAAATGAATGCAAACAACAAAATACTTAGTGAAAACAAAAATTATAAAAATAATAATTAAAACTAAATTTTACGAACTAATAAAGAAAAAAAACACAAATATTTTATTGTTTAAGCTCTAAATTAATAGTTAAACATGCAGACAAGTTCCAAATATCGTTTTTTTTTTTGAATGTGTAAATGATATGGTACTTAAATCTATATTTTCTGCTGCGAATAATTCTTGCTGAAATAACTAAATACAAATGTTTTCAAACTACAATACTAAACGGAAATCAAAATTCATTACTTTTGCAANGAATGTGTAAATGATATGGTACTTAAATCTATATTTTCTGTTGCGAATAATTCTTGCTGAAATAACTAAATACAAAAGTTTTCAAACTACAATACTAAACGGAAATCAAAATTCATTACTTTTGCAAGTGTTTGGATGAGGTTGAATCTTATGATGTACGTATGTATGTATGTGTTTTTATTGAATTATGAATTTTTAATACCTAATAAAAGTGTACTAAAAAAATAAACAGCTAGTAGTTGAAAATGCCGTGTGTTATGGAGTGTGAAAAGATAATGCGCCCTAACGTTGGTGTTGAACAAAGCGGAGGTAAGAGCAGTAAAGGGTATACACGACAGTAGAGTCCACATTATCGGAACGCTTCAGACTTTCTCGTATACTATATGTATGTATGTACATTAGGCGCATCAACAAAAGAGTTGCGATTTACATTTTAAGGCTTCCGCAAAAATAATTCGAAAAAATATTAGGACAAACCTGAGCTTCACCGATTTTAAATAGGTACCTCCGAAAATCTCATTATTTTGTTTCCGTTGATAAAGTTTTTAAACTTTTTTATGCATACCTTTTAAGCTTAAACTTTTCTACCATATGAGGTGATTTTTTGGAAAAAAAAAATATTTTTAAAAACAAATTTTATAAAAATCATTAAAACTCGATATTTGTAGGCAATTTCAAATTTATGCTCATGTAAATATTAATATTCTTTTTTTACTATGATACACTTTATAAATCCGGTGGAAAAACTGCAATATTTTTTGTGATGCACCCTAATGTACATACATGTACATATGTATGTACTATTGTATCTGACGACGAACTGTCACGCCAGCAGCAATCTCTGCTCTTTAGTACAAAAATAGCTTTTGTCAATATTTTGGTACATATGTATATATGTATATGTGTTTACTTTTACTGATACAAAACTTCAAAACTAAACTGGTTTTCACATATTTTAGTACTAGACACGCGGCCCAACTTTTACTAAAATTACATGCAAATTGTTGTACTAAACTTATGTAGAAATTTTAGAACTTAATTTTTGCCGATATATCTATTATAAAATGTTTTAAAATTAGTAGATTTCAAAAAGTAATTGATAATGGCGCGAAATACCGATGCCTTCAAAAACAGAACTCGGCCAAAAGACGGCTAAGCTAAACAGGGTCATCTCCGAGCTTAGTTGTTATAAAAATGTTTGGGCCGTTGTTTACGATACCGGTACCCATATCGCTACATTACGTCTACATCAAGGTCAAACGAATGCCGAATAAGTCATAGGAGTAGGTTTGTCAAACATGGTTCGCTAAGTTTTTAGAACAAAGCTTTACTAGTAATATTTTGGTAGAAAATTTATTTTATTTAAATTTAAAAATTTATTTTTTAGCACAAAATTTTGAGTAGGTACTAAAAAAGTTCAGCTCAAAAAGAAAAGTTTTTTTTCGTTGTGAAATGACAAGGCCAACAGCAATAGGCCCGAATGTCTTTGCTCAACACCACACGCGCATACCAAAATATAGAAAAGTCTTGTAAAAATTAAGGTAAAACAAATTCAAGGATTTAAAAAACGTCGTGGAGGTCAAGAGAGGACGACAAGTGAAGTCCGAAATACATGGACGAAATCTATTTTAGTTTTTTTTAAAGCAGTTAAATGACAGCAAAGTTAATGGATTTTTTGTTTCAAGTTCCCTTATAAATTAAGCTTTAAGAACTAAATGTTTGCTTGTGCAGCAAAAAAAAATTTTAGTTACATATTCTATATGAATGAGATTGTTACAGAACCAGTTACCTCACAATGCGTGCGGAGGCGCAAAATTAAGCTAGTAATACTTTTTACTGCTGAAATGTCAAAGAATATTTGTACATTCCTGGAAATTAATGAAACATTTTGAATAAAATAAAAAATTATATAACTTGTTATTAAAGTTTGTAATTATAGCTTTAACGTATGTAAGTATGTATGTATTAAGAGCCTTGTAATTTCCTCATTTATGTTGCTGATACTTCGTGCATGTTTTATGTATGTACTTATGTGTTCTATGCAAATAATATTTTAAACTAAAAAAACTAATTCTAATTGAAAAACAAAAGCTTTTTAATTTCTTTTTGCATACTAACAAGAACTAAGAACTTATTTAGTAACTCTTAAAAAATACATTTTTATATATAGTATGTTAATATTATGTAGTGAGAAGCTTCAAAAAAATAATTGCGAAAATTGTAAACGCAAATCTTGTATAAATACTAGAATTTTTAACATATAAGCTATTCCAAAATTGCCAAACTAATAAAGAAAAAAGGAAGATGCCGAATAATAGAGGAAGCGGATAGTGTCTGAATATCAAAGGCCAAGTATCTTATAAGGAAGCTCCAAATATTCATTTTTTTACAACTCTCGTGCAGCATTTTGAACTTTAGTTTGCTTAATCCCTTAAAATTAAGCAGCTAATTTAAGAATTGCATTCCGAAAAAACACTGCTTCGGACTCTGCAGCAATATTACGCAACATTTACGCTACCTGCAAGTTGCTAGCAACATTTCACTTGCTCTGCGTTGCTGTGCGCCTGTTGAAATTTCATAGAAATTGATGGTGCACGCGTGCAGGAAGGACACATATTGATTGCCTTCATCCAGGCGCCAAATGTGCGTAATTGTGAGCAGGTGGTACACCCTGTGCCGCCCACACTCCTGAGCGGCACTGGCCAACACTTCCGCTACCACCTGCTATGCTCTTCTGCACGCCTGGTACTTTGAGGAGGAAATCTGCTCTCGATTTTGGCAAAATGAAAGGATGCGGAAGCATTCTTTGTGCTGCATACTTTTAGGCGTATAGTGTAAATTATTAATAATGGACACCCTGTGTCGGAAGCAAAAAAATTATTCACCACCTGCTGGGCATTGCTGTTCGCCTGGTATTTCAGTGTGTGCAGCTCGCGTTGCAGTTTGCAAAAATTTTGCAGAAAGTTTTTGCGGCATCTTCCGTTCGATTTTTTTTGGTATAACAGCAGTGCTGAGCATTTTCGCTGCAGTACTACTCGTATGCTGCTGTTTTAAAATAATTTAAAGAAAGGCGATTTTTTTGAAATATGTAAATGCGGCCGGTCAAGCGGAATTATGGGCAATTGTTTTTTTTTTTTTTTTGATAATGCAGGAAGTGTCAGACATAACCAGTAAAGAAATTCGAACGCTTATAAATTCTTTTTTTTTTTTACTAGGATTCGCTAGAAGTCCTTTATATTTGCTTAAGTACTGTTTTAGTGTTAAGAGGCAAGTAAAAACTAAAAGCTACTGCTAATAAAATAAAAATTAAATAAGAAATATATAATAAAAAACTAAATGGTGCAAATCTAAAAAATACTGTGCACTAATGAAATGTACTACAACAAATTAAATTTTAATTTTAAGTGAACTAAAATCTATTTAAAAATTAAGAATACAAATCAAATGCAATTAGTTTTGTTTTGCTATGCTATGCTCAACTAAAAACTTACGCGCACGCCTTCTGACGCTTATGCTGTTTTATGATAATAATTAATATTCAATATTTTTATGCACTTATATAAATAATTTCATTACTACATATTCGCTGTACAATTGGGCATAAATATATATATTGATGACATACAAGTATCTTGTTTTGTATTAAATTCAAGAAATATTGGGCAAGCAATTACGAATATTTATTTACTTCATACATATTTAAGTACTAAACTAAAGGTTTAATTAAAATTCAGTGAAATAGAAAACTAAACTAAGCACGCTAAATACAAAATACAATATAAATTTTACATGTATATGTATGCAGTTGGTTGGGATGGTGGCTTTTTTTTTTTAGAATATATTTCATAGTTTTTGAAATTATATACAGCAAACAGTTTTTAATTGCAGTTTTTCTAAGCAACTTAGGTTTTTTGAAATGTATTAAGCAATGTATGCAATAACAGCTGTATTGGAACATAGTAGATAGTGTGTGTAAAATGGATTTTAGTTTTGTTAGAATTTAAATGTTATGCTTAAACTTGCGTAAAGTGATGCGTGAAGTTGTATATGTATTAGTGTATGCAGTGTTTTATGTGACAAATGCATGTTTGATGACGTTTTTTTCCGAAGCTTGTTGTGAGGTTGATTAAAGTGAAGAAAAAATCCCAAAGAGAGCACAGTGTATTTGTATTACCAAGCACCCTTTCGCCAAATCTTCAAAGCATGCTTATTGCTTTTACAGTTAACGTAAGCCAAAATTGCGAGAACAAATGGTACTCGCCAAAAAGACCTCCCGGGTAGGTCTCACGATCAGTTTTACGTTAACAAATTGACGCGGCGACAACGCGCTCAGCATTTTAATGATACCTCGGAAAACTTGCGCTATAACTATATGATTATTTTTTCACTCCAATGCAGATCCAGAGCAGAAGGAAAAGCGTTTTTTCGTTGTATCAGCATTCAAGTTATCCAATTTGGAAATAACAAATTCTCAACTTGATACTAAAAATACATATTTACTTTACATTCTCCTCACTAAAACATATAACATATTTTGAATTTACTTCTCTTTTTTAATATCTTCATGCATGTAAGATGAATGTGAAGATAATCGTTTTCAATTTCTGATAGATTTGAGATCAATTAGGTTTGCAGTTTATTTGTAAGCTTCGAAAGCGCTAGACAGACTGCATTGCTTAGCAAGCAAGAATTGTATTGAAATTTGTTTATGCAGCATCAAGCGTTGTCGCTTAAATTTATAGCCAATTAGGAACTGATTTTGAACGAATGAAAATCCATAACGCAAGTGTCAGGGTTAAATGCATTTCGCATGTTTTTAAGTACATTGAAGTTGGGTTTATTTTCCCCTTTACTTAGTTATACTAACGCACAGTAATCTTTTTGGGATTTACGTAGTAGCTGTAGCTATATAACTCGCTTGTTTTACGATTTTCATTACTTTTATGATTTTGTGTGGATAGTGTTCACATATTTTTTACTTGTATCCCTTCTCTTACTTGAGCAGAGCACACTTAACATATGAATTTATGTAAATACATATCTATGCTAAATATGCAGCTGATGTACCTGGCTTGTATGCATATACATATGAATTTGTATGTGTGTACTCGTTTGTATGTATGCATAATGTTTTATGTAGTATGTATTTCGTTTATGTTGTTGTCATGTTTGTTTTTTTTTTTTTTATCTAAATTAAACGCAATCAAGTCGGTGGTTTAAAAATTCTAATTCTCATTATTTTTAATTATTGTTATATGCATTTTTTCATTTTCCTGTGTGTTATACTCTATTTATATATATGTGTGTGTATTAGTTTTTTAGTTTTAATTTCTGTTGTTTTTTTTTATCTTGCTTGCGAATCGGTTATAAGTTAACACATTTGTAGAGAATCTTTTTACCTTTTTTCACTGCATCATTATAACGATGCTCTGCTTAATGCTTAAAATTAATTAATTATGTATGGTATTTTCAACATATTCATTTTCTTTGCTGAGTATAGGCGCCTGAACTTTTGGCGCAAAATTAAATATAGTTTGTAGATAATAACGCGTTTCATGCGCCTTCAAAAGATTATAATAATACTTAATATGGGCATTTGTTTAACAATTGCAAATACACAATTTTTATATTTTCTTTTTTAGTTTTTGTTTTCTTCTGCTTATACACATATTGCTGCAGTTTCGAAATTGACAAAGTACTGTTCATGCGCCGCTAGCGCGTATGTGAACGCGTTGTTTGCAGCCGCCAAAAAATGCGCACTTTAAAAGGTTGCTTTTATTTCATATTTTCATTGCTTTGAGTCTCTTATAGCTAACTAAATGTATATTTGTATGTACTTCTATTTTTTTAATTTTCATGCGCATAGCACTGCATCTTTCTAGCTTTTAATATCTACTCTTTGTAGAGTTTGTCTTTTGTCAATGCATTAACTAAAATTTTTTGCCAAAAACTCTCTTAAATTTTTGCGAAACTTTTTCTTTTTCCTTTTTTATTTTGTCTTATTGAAATTTATTAGTTGGTGTTTTACCTAACATCAGCAAAAACATATACGTATATATATAATTCTCAATTACTGTCTTTAAGCAATTTTCTTTTCCATTTCTGAGCGTCTTTAGTAAGTATTTATGTATTGCAAACGAGCATTTTAATTAGCATTTTCTTAGATTAAGAACCTAGCGAAGAAGCACATGCGCATGCGCATAACATTTTAATTGTATATGATTACTAAAGTAATATTAAGAATAATAATAAGCATTTTATACACATTTTTAGTGTTTTTTTTTCTTCTTTAAATTTTTTCTCTTTAATGCAATTCAAAATAATGTTGAGAACGTAAAATATTGTTGTAGTCAACTTCCCAATAGATTAACAAATTCTTCTCCCACACGCGCTCACACACGCTTAACACACTTGTATATGAATGTATCACAAATCGTTGTAATGTCGAAATGTCACGCGTCGCAAACGCGCGCACACCCACCTCCAGTTAATCTGTGTCTGTTTGGTGTCTACCGTTTATGCATCTGTGAGCATTGTTGATATTCATTTAATATTATTAATATATAGTATATAAATATTTTTAAGTTAAGAGTATTTCCTTCTGCACTCTCCATTTGCTTAAAAATTTCCCATTCGATTGTTTGAACAAACGACGACTGCCTCTACTAAAATGTGTCTTAGACGTACATGCCCATGCCGTACATTTGACTCCAGTCCACACCCTGAAAGCTGGACATGTCTACATTGGTTAGCGTATAGCTTTGATATGGATTGCCTGCATTCAGTGCATTACCAGCGACGAGTGCCGCCTGTTGTGCGGCGGCTGCTGCCAGCGGATGATGTGCCGTTTGAGCGCCATGTGCGCCCGCTTGGCCACCATGCGCGGTAACGGCGAGCGCATTGTGTGCGCTCTGTGCGGCGGCAACGCCTTGCGTATTGGCGGCGTTATGTTGCTGTGCTGCAGCAGCGGCGGCAGCATGGGCAGTGTGTTGCTGTTGAGCGGCGGCAGCAGCATTCACATGCTGTTGCTGCTGTGCCGCAGCATGTTGCTGTTGGGCTTGCACCAAGGCGTTGGCGGCAGCGGCGCTTGTGGGTATGGGATAGGGTGCATATCTGTGGGAAATTAAGATAATTTAATGAATATACGATTAATTTTTTCTTTGTTGTTTAATATGTTTTAAATACACACCTGACGCTATGCAAGGCCTGTGGATATGTAGCAAGCAATTTGCCAAAGCTAGCTGGATTGGCGGCAACCGCGGCGGCGGCGGCGGCGGCATTTTGTACTTGGAAGGGTGACTGCGAGATGAGCGCAGCTTGCTGTGCAGCAGCGGCTGCAGCGCCATTGGCGGCATGCAATTGCAGTTGTGTCGGCGCTTGCAACATAGCTAGTGAACTCATGGTGGTGACGCCAGCGCGTGTGCCAATCAATTGACCCGGTGTGGCCGGTATGGGCACACCCAGAGTGCTCAGCATTATACGTTTCTGCAGCAATTGTGCAGCAGCTGGTGTAACAGCCTCCTTTGGCTGTGCTTTCTTGCATTCGACCTTCTTGTTCTTGATGGTGTGGAAATGTATCTCACAAACACGATCCACAACATCCTCATTTTCGAATGTAACGAAACCAAAACCACGGTGACGCTTTGTCTGTTGATCCATCAGCATGACAGTCTCTTCAACGGTGCCAAATTGATTGAAATAGGCTTTCACCTCATCGGCAGAGGTATCTTGCGAGACGCCACCAACGAATATCTTCTTTGTCTTATTAGCCTGACGCGGGCGATTCTTCGGTGTTGCATGCTTGGGATCGATCTTCTTGCCATCAAGTGTATGTATGGGTACCTGCAGGACTTTGTCGACGCTGCAAGGCTCTTGGAATGTGATGAAACCAAAACCGCGACTACGCTGTAAGCCAGAATAAGGACAGCAATGTTGAACGTGACGACGAAGAAAGAAACCAACAAAAATTATATTAGTAAACAAGTAAAAAAAAAATAAGTAAAATATATATATGTATACATATCTATACGAGAGCTACTAAATTTCAAAAAAATACGTTTTTTTTTAAAAACATTTTCTGCAACTAATTTCAACTAAATTATACAACTGTAATATGTAAGAGCAATTTAGGTTATGTAATTCAATCAACACTAGGCAATTTATCCCTTTTATATTTTTGTGGTTCTCAAGTAATTTTAGACATACGAGTAAGTATAATTAAATTGCAATTATACATTTCAATGAAGTATCTATACATAAGTGTTTTGATTTATTACGAAAATTGTATTTATGTATGTAGTATGTGTATGTCTGTAGATAGGAAAATTAAAGCAATTATTTGTACTTAAGAATCACTATGATTTATTAGAAGTAGAAAGCGACAATAAAAACGACTTAAAGCTTAAACAGAAGGAAGGGTTGATCCGGATTAACTCGGACTTAATCCGGATTAACTGCAGTTAATTCCCGAGTTGACCCGGATCAACGCTGCCGTTTGTTTATGCATTTAGATACTTATGTATTTGGCAGGTTTAGATAAAATCAAGTGTTCAACTAACTCAATCATAACCTAGACGCACAATCTATAAAATACACCAAATTTATACGAAACTATGTATGTATGTATACCTATGCAAAGCGATTAGTGAACTAGGGATACAAAAAAACTGACCAAAAATGTTAATTATTTAAAAAGTGAGCATAACTTTTGAGCCATTCAAGTCTTATCATCCGTCTTCTAGTTAACTAATCGCAGTCAAACAAGCATTAATATTAATGTTAATCTATATGCATTATTTCACGTGATTATGTAAAAAGGAATTATTGGATAAAATGGGCGCATACAAAAAGAGCACCCGCATATGAAAAAATTTATTGGTTTTTCGCCCTTACGCTTATTCGGATAGATTGAGAATGATAGAAATATGGTTTGCAAAAAACAAAGCTCGTTTATGAATGGGTAAACGGACTTAAATCGAGATAATTTACCAAAAAATAGTGCCTTTCTTCAAATACCAATATCTTCTTAAATATTGATTAACGGAGATATAGGTGCAAAAGCTATTTAATATACAATTTTGCTAAAAACATTTTGTTCATAAAAACTTGTGAATAGCCAAGTGTCCGTTGTGGGGTTTTGAGCTGTTTAAAGGAAACATTTCAAGACTAATTTAATTCATTCCATTAAAAGCATTTGGAAAATATAATTTATAAAAGCGCGATTGTGGCATGGCGCGGCAACCTTCTGAAACCACAGATCGTCCAAGTTTTTTTGGTCTGAAATTTCCGGCCATGAAAAATCGCTTATCATGCCTCTGTAGCGCTCACCGTTGACCGAAATGGGATGTCCAGTACCATTTTCAATGAACAATTGGCCAATTATGACAATTAATGTGGCTTCTTGACGATCACTTGCGGCGTTTCCGATCCCCAGATGGGTAAGTTTTCCTAAACAACATACATAGCCGCTGAGATGAAAATGCCCTTCCGGCAGAAAAGATTATTTTTCGAGCAAAATCATTGTCCATTTCGAGCTGCTCGAGTTTGCATTATTTCCCAACGTTGTTCAAGCGCAAAGCGATTCAATTTCGGTCGGCGAAGATATGGTACTGGCTTTCCGTTAAGATTTACATCGGAAAAAGGAGTCACTGCCAAAATAATATATGATTAAAAACAAACACTATATGGACCACCCTTTATTTGCTTTAACAGCTCAAAGCTCCGGAAACCGAAATTGGTCGAGCAGAGGTTTGTATGAACAAAATATTTCTAGTTTAATTTACGTGAAAAAGCTCTTCTTACTAGAAGACATTGATCTGTAAAAACAAGCACTATTTTTCGATAAATTTTCGTGTTTTAGATCCAAACTGACTGGATTTCTTTGCCCACTACAAATGATCAGTTTTTTTCTGAAACACTTATTTTTCAAGCCCGATCCGCACGAAAATGCGTGGGGAACGAAAAAATAAGCGCTTTTGCAAATTCAATACAGCTCATGGGTACTCTACGTACTAGTATGTATTAAAGTACATATGAATGTAATATTACACCGTGCCACACGTGTCAGTTTTACACATAAAAATAACAATGGCCGTCATTCATAAAAAGTGAGCCTAAGCTCCTACTCGATTTTCAGTACAAATTGTTGAGCTTTTAAGCTAACTTCACCAGTGCAAAAACTGCGTCTTGAAATTTCAAAGATACGATTAATCAAAAAAAAAAAAATTGTTTTAAAAATTCAGTGCAATGTCTCAAATAACAATATGGATAACAAATGAAAGAGAAAATTAAATTTTTTGATGCATAAAGACGAATAGGTATTGAAAATGTCCTTTCAAAATTTTATGCTTGAATATCCTGAAAATTTTCGATATTTATTTTTGAAAACATTAATTAATTAAAAATTTAATTCTGCGAAATTTCCTATTTCTTTTTGTTTGTTAACCACTGAACTGAATTTTTGAAATATTCGTATCTTTAAATTTCATAGACCTTTAAAAAAGCCTGATGATAATGAGAAAAACTAGAAAACGCAGTTTTTTTATATTAGGCCACTATTTTCGTGAAAAGGTATAAATATTAATTGTTTCGTGTTTTGATCTTTTATTTTATTTTTTTTTTGTCGCACGGTGTTATTCAAAGGTCGATATGTTCATAGACACGATTCTTTTTCCAATTTCGAAACGCTAACAAATTTAAAACAGAAGCATATTATTTCCATACTAAATTTTATATTCATTGTTGGCGTGTTTTTTGTTTTTTTGTGTGCCGAATTTTTTTGTTAGACAATATACATACTATAACATGTTTACTAAACAGATAGATAATTTTTAAATAAACCAGTCCTAATTATAAGAAAATATGTAGCAATAAGAGAAAAAAGTCAGATATTTCTGCGGTAATAGCAACTTTTCTTAAGGTGATTAAATACATAAACTACACATAAGAGTACTATACTTTAGTTGGCATTTTAGAAATAAGTCAGAAAATAAAACAAAAAAGTCGTGTAATTATAACATTTTGAAAGTTTCCCCATTACAAACTAGTGGGACCTCTGGACGTAATAAATGAACACAAAAAAAGAAAACAAATAACAGCACTTTTCTAAGGAGGAGGGGCCTACATTTTTAACAAATTAGTTGATTCAAGTAGTAAAAGTGAACAAATTGTTGCTAAAAATTATTCCATACAAATTTTATGCACACACACACACACACATTCGCACGCACACGCTCAGTAAAAAGTAACAAAGAAATTTATATGTATGTATAACCACAGGCGAACCTGTAGATTAAGGGACCGCTACCATAACGATTACGTGTTATATTTGCAGAATTTTTTTCAACAGTTTGTATGTATTGATAATTACGAAAATCATAGCTAAAATTATATGCTATAGGTATAGTTCTAATGCCTAATTTACGCTCTCTATGATATAAGTAAATATTTTCTTTATCCCGTTTTGTTTATGTAATTTTAAAAGCATTGTCCAGTAAACTACAATATTTGGCCGATAACGTAAAATTTTTTTTCAAGATTGTCTACAATTCTGTGTAAGCTTTCTTCTTCACATCAGTCTATATTAATTAGCATGACGCGCTCGTACTCATCAATTGACGTACATACATATTAATGTATGAATGCCCTAAGGACATTAGTTATAAGAAAACAGTAACACAATTATTTTATAAACATTGGTTCAATTACAATATAGTACATCTAAACGATAAAAGAGTTACTATAAATATACAATATATGGTCTCAGCATACATTACATAAAAAAAAAATTGTAGGTATTCATAAATAATCAGAGTATTCATCTAAATGCATAAATGCCTCGTAAACCTTTATAAGTTGTATTCGTGTAACACTGTGTGTAAACTCTTAAATTTACGTATTTTATAGGTTTACACATTTAGACGAATACCCCTGCTACATAAATATTTTCAATCGACGTTTTTACAACTGCATGTAATTTTTATAAAAAATACATAGTTTATTTTACAGTTAGGCATGGGTACTTACAGCTAGACGTTTTAGTATTATTTATTTAACAAAGAAAAAAATCGTGTCTAAATAGATTACATTTTTTAGTAACAGAACAGCATAATTCTACTTATAGTACACCTGTATTAATTGTAATATATGTATATATATTTTTTTAATCTTATATGCCTGACTACTAATTAGCAACAATTGCATTGTTTCGACATGAACAAATGACTTGTATACCCTATTTCCACCAAAGGCTTAACTGCAGTTAAGTGCACAGGTAAGTTCCAAGAATTTTAACATCGGATGATCGGCAAAGTTTATATCTTAATTTTTGTTTTTTCTTCCTTTCGTTTGCTTGTACTTGATTTAAGCAATTACCCCCCTCGCGTTCCTTTTTCCAATAAGCATAAACTGCAGTTTAGACTTTGTGGAAATGTACTATTATACAGCTTTAAATTTACAAGTACGTACATACAGATTTGTTGTATGAGCTAAATTCGTATGCGAGTTATATACATTATTAATACGGATATACGGGGCAGAGCTAGAACTAAGTATATAATCGCCTTGATTTGTGGCTGGTACCAGTACCAGCCAGACTATGTACCGTTTTAGGTTTCCTACTTAAAAATGCAATTACAAATATTTAGTTCGAAAATAACGCTAAACTAAAATCGCATATTTCTTCTATGTAGTTAAAATAATTTAGCTTGAAAAGAAAACAAATATGTTTTTAGAAGTTTCACAGTAATGGTTTCAAAATAAAAGCTACTAAAACAAACAAAGCAGTAAACTTTGAACAACATTTACTAATTTTCACGCTTAAAAAATCCAAATCTATAGACCATCTAGTTGGTGTTATTCTAATTGAAAACCAGCGCGCCAATTTGTGGTATGCGTTTTGGTGTTGT